TACAAAATACACAATCTAAATCCAAATCAAACATTAACCAATATAAATAAATGAACTCTGTCTCTATATACCAACCATTATAAACAATAAACTCTTTATCTGAAATTATACATTAAACAGAAACAGTTTATCTGAAAGTATGAAATAAAGATATACTGCTTCTAAAATTATACAAAATATATAAATAACCTCTAAATATACATAAATAAACCTTGCATTTTAAGTTATACAATATACATAAAGTCTCAATCTGAATTATACAAAAAGTAATTCACCAAAACCATTATCTGAAATTACATTACTCATTTAACTTTTCAACCTGGGGTTAAATTTTTGGGGGGTAACAAGGTGCTTAATAGTTTTGGACAATTATAATTTAAGTTGCTCTTTTCAGTCTTCAAGCTATATTCTCTGACGAAATGATAAAATAGTAAGGATTTCTGGTTTGAAGGGGGTAATCAATCAATCAAGGGGTAAAAGAAAGAAAAAGGTTGAAAACCCTGGCTCAACAAGTACATATATACATTGTAAACCTTTTCAGAAGTCATTGTGTTTAAATGATCACAAAGAAATCCAGAGTGAAAATCTTATAAACTTACTTGTATTTTCTCTGGACATTGTTTGAGTGAATTGCCAGTCATTTCTTCATGTAATAAAACAGCAGCTAGTCTTTGTTGTAAGTAATGTCCTCTAGATCCAGGAGGTAATAGTTGTACAACATATACTCTATCATGATGATGACTAGAAATTTTACTTAATCTATCACATAGTTCTGGCACCTATAAAAACTTGATTTATTCATATCTCAAATATTAAAAACTCTATATCATTCATTGTATTTATAAAAGCCCCAACTTCAAAGGGGAGGTATCTTCACAATATCAAGCTATTACAGACTGCCTCTAATACCTTTATTGCAATTGCCACCTTTCTTGTATCATGGAAGTTTATTAATGCAGTAATTCGATTGGATTGTACACAATCTAATACAGCCAATCACAGCCTTCAACAGAAAATTAGTTAAAATATGCTTAATGTTAAAAGTCTTTTTTCGAGGGCTTTGACTGGCTGTATTCTCTAGCGTACAATCCAATCAAATCGCTACATTTCGTGATACACGAAAAGAGCCCAATGAAGTCAAGGTATAAAATGCAGTTTATATAGATGAAGGGAAGGTGAAGTTTTAAATCTTAAATGCAGTGTTGCCATATATATATATATGCCAAATTAGTGAGAAAGAAAGAAACAATATTTTTTAAGGATAATAACTTAGTTTGACAAGGATTGGGTCTAGTGGCTAATTCTTAGCCAACCCTCTTGACATTTCTTTCGTAAATTATAGGTACCAATTTACAGGTTGACTGAAATAATGTGGAAAGATGACTTAAAATCAAGCAAATGTCATGTAAGGATTTCAACACTCTTAGCATCTGTGCTACAACCCATCCTCAAACCATGCATGTGCTTCAGAGTCAATCAGAGATATGTACTAATCCTCATATGTATATTGCTGAGTAATAAAATTAGTACATGTTTAATGAAACTGCCAACTTTTCATCTTTTGAGTTACATAATTGTATGGAGGAGTAGAAAGAGGATTTTAACCCATAAACCTTTGGAAAGTCAGAAGTTATTAAGCTAATTGCAATATATCATGAAGCTAATTTAAAATTCATATCAATTATTTCAATTTTCCAATGGAAATGTGTTTCGCAATTTGCATTTTAATTATAGACAATGCCATTGTTACAGTTATAAAGACTTTCATAGTAATTGAAGAATATTCAAACAAAAGCCAAACATTTAACAGTTGAATATTCCAACAAAGACCTAATGAATCAAATACAAATTAAACATAAACACTACCAAATTTACAAAAGAGTTACAGGTTATTTTGACTTCATTAGAGTAAAGAAGAATATATTTAGACATATTAGTACTGGTAAGAATGGGATATTGTTTGAGAATAGTATGGATAATACCAATTAGTTTTAATAATCAATATATATGTACTATATTTACCACATTTAACCATGCATCTTTATCATAACACTCCATTACTGAACTAACAACCACTTGAAATTCATAATGACACTTATTACTGAAATATACATAAATAACTAGCTTTCTAGAAGTATAGAATTAATAACATCAAGTATACAAACCTGAAGATACAGACTGAAAATACGCTTGATCAAAATTTTACAGGATCTATAGTCAAAGGTTCTACATCATTTAATAATAAGCAATGCATTGACATATATAATATTATTATGTTATGTACAACCTTTTGTACCTTTGTTTCCAGATTCAAATTACCTTTCAAAGATAGTGGACTACAGCCATATATGCCCACCACAGCATGCGGATGGTAAATATTCAAGATTGGGGCAAGGGCAATAACTCTGCTTCTAACGGTCGAAAATAGTTCAAATTCGGACTTGATCTTCGTTTTATGAATATGTATACACATACCGAATTTCATTTGATTCCATCAAAAAAAATCTAGTTTTTAGAGCGTTTACAAGCAAATGTTGACGGACGGACTGACGGACAGAGTGTTTACGAGCAATTGATGTTGATAGAAGCACTTACTGTATAGAGGTTAAAGGGCGATAACTCCTTAAAAAGAGGCCTAAATCTTGAAAAAAGCCTTAAATTTAATCAGAAGTAAACTAAACTTTCTCAAACCTTTCGATTTAGGTCCAATAACATCCACTTTAAGTTTCATCAAAATCGGTTGAAAACTAAGAGAGTAATAACTCTGCTTCTAATGGTCAAAAATAGCTCAAATTTGAACTTGATCTTCGTTTTATAAATATGTATACACATACCAAATTTCATTTGATTCCATCAAAAAATCTAGATTTTAGAACGTTTACAAGCAAATATTAACAGACATGGACAGGGGTGCCGACAATATACGTCCACAAAGAGAGATGTGGGCGTATAAAAATGAGATGAAAACAGTAGCTTTGATATTATGATATTGACATGCCAGACAGACATATTGGACGGACCAATTGATGAACCAACAAATAGAAATGGGAGGTGTCAATAAATCTCCACATTGTTTTATATAAAAGTACAAAAATGTTTGCATAATGTTTGGACTAATGCTGAAAACTATCCAAAATGTAAGGTGGAGGTATTATAAAATTAGAATCAATATAATGTCTTTATAAATAAATCAATCAACAGAGATATGGATTCTATTTCGGTTCAAACCTGGCAGATTGCAGGTATACATTTATATACTTTTTGTCAATGTTTACATAAAAAAAAAGTTAAAAACCATGCGTTCAATACTAGACAAACCACACTAGAGAGGCAAAAAAAAAAAAAATTCCAGGAAAGATAATATTTTTATTTTAAGTGAAAGTCTGATTGATTAAAAGCAAAATCATTGTACTGTAACTTAGTTCTAAATTTTGAGAGAGGAAAAAAAAAACAATTCAGGTTTACAAGTCCAAGATCAAAAAGATTCCCACTAAAATGTATAATGTAGCATGTGTTGCTAATAAGGCAAAGCATTTTCAACTTATCTCTTACTGGGTTTGTCAACTCATTTATTTCATATATTAATTATTAGTCAAAGGCAAGTAAAACAATTATTTACAGTAAATTTTCAATCAATATCTTTGACAATCAAAATCAAACAGAAGAAATTGATGTTTCAATCTAATCAATTATATTATGTTTCTTTTTTATCTAAGACATTATCAAACACTAGTAAAGTTTTTTTTTTTGGCCTCCAGTTTATATATATAAATTATGATAGCCGTTACATCATAACCTGTCCATCTAATACACATGTACATGTGTATTTTCAAATTGTAAACCTAGACAATCAAGGTTTGACGCTTATAAAAATAAAGAGTATATTATGATTATAAGATATGCAGACAGGTTATTTTAATACTTAAATGCTGTAGTTTTCATAACTGATGTAGATATTATATTGAATAGTCCAAATTGATTCTATCAGTGTCCCTTATAAACCTCTTTACAATTGCTTAAAGGTAACTTTTATGACGGACCATTTAAATCAATATCCATATTGATACATTGGTGGTCGATACAGTGACAATATTGCCCTGCCTTATCTGTCAACTTAATCTTTTTAGTACAAAAATTGATTGACCACATAAGTACAATTTATATACTGTAAGTATCATCATAAATATATCTCAATTGATTCACTATATATCATCTATTTAACATTACATATTTACTTGACAAATTAATAATGTATTTAAAAATATTTCCTTAACCATCAGTTTCTATACACCTACACAGGAGAAAACGTCATACTGCAGCATCTTTACTTAAAGATATACTACCTCTTAGGATATACATTTTTAAACTTGGGCAAAATGAGTCTTTGTTTGATGATTATTTATTTTTATTGAACAAGTTTGAGACTTTAAATTTTATATCCATTCTATGAGGTATAAAATAGATGTTTCAAGTGATATTTTATAAGAAGTACAGATAAGACAAAAACATAAAGCAACTAGACACATAACTTACATAATCTGTATGACTTGTACATGTTTTTAAAATTGTGGTTTGAATTTCTGTTACACTTTCCAATATCCTAGCTACTACCATAAAATATCACTAAAACTATAGGCTTACTGGAGTTCTAAATGTATTTCACTTTTCAGCCAATAAAAACTACAGCATGTATTATCTTCAAAAGCAACTATGGATGAAGGACAGAGACAATTATGATATATATCTATGCCTATTGTAAATAATAAGAATATTCAAACTACTCACTTATTCAATGATGTATCAATAGCTGCCTTTACTAAAATTTCTACCATAAATGTTAATTCATCTGTTTTTAAATCAGGTCTAAAAACAGTTCAAAATATTTATAATTACATGTAAGAGCATGTGAAGCATAATGGCAGAAGTCATTATTCATGACAAATCTAGCCTTGTACAAAATATTATGGCTTTAAGGTATATATATATATAATGTATCTAACTTAAGAACACAATATAAACCTTACAAAACTTGAAGATGAAACTTGTCTAGCTTGAAGAACACAAGATAGAACTAACATAGCTTGAAGAACGCAAGATAAAACTAACATAGCTTGAAGAACACAAGATAGAACTAACATAGCTTGAAGAACACAAGATAAAACTAACACAGCTTGAAGAACACAAGATAGAACTAACATAGCTTGAAGAACACAAGATAGAACTAACATAGCTTGAAGAACACAAGATAGAACTAACATAGCTTGAAGAACACAAGATAGAACTAACATAGCTTGAAGAACACAATATAGAACTAACATAGCTTGAAGAAAGCAAGATAGAACTAACATAGCTTGAAGAACACAAGATAGAACTAACATAGCTTGAAGAACGCATGATAGAACTAACATAGCTTGAAGAACACAAGATAGAACTAACATAGCTTGAAGAACACAAGATAGAACTAACATAGCTTGAAGAACACAAGATAGAACTAACATAGCTTGAAGAACGCAAGATAGAACTAACATAGCTTGAAGAACTCAAGATAGAACTAACATAGCTTGAAGAACACAAGATAGAACTAACATAGCTTGAAGAACACAAGATAGAACTAACATAGCTTGTCGAACGCAAGATAAAACTAACATAGCTTGAAGAACGCAAGATAGAACTAACATAGCTTGAAGAACACAAGATAGAACTAACATAGCTTGAAGAACACAAGATAGAACTAACATAGCTTGAAGAACACAAGATAGAACTAACATAGCTTGAAGAACGCAAGATAGAACTAACATAGCTTGAAGAACACGAGAAAGATAAAACATATCTATATTGAAGAACACAAGACAAACTTAAATAGCTTGAAGAATACATAATAAAACTAACCTAGCTTGAAGAGCACAAAATAGAACTTACATACCTCAAGAGCACGAGATAAATTTTTCCAATGCTTGAACACAAGATAGAACTAACCTAGCTTGAGTAGCACATGATAAAACATACTTACCTAGATTTAAGAACACTAAGAACTTAAAATAAAACTAACCTTGCTTGAAGAGCACAAGATAAAGTATCTAATACACTAAGTAGATTATCTCTACTGATCAAGTACAATGAGTTGTTATTGTTATTATTATCAACACCATTTTCTAATGTAGGTTCTATGATTGCACTGAAATATTTAATAACCAGTTCTGAATATCTGAACCACTGTTCTAGTATTGCAAGTCAAATATGACTGAAACTCAAGGTTGAATTTTTGTCAGGTAATTATGTGCTGTGGATTTGATTCCTCTTTTAGGTTGAACAATTCTGATGCCACAACAAGTTCTCCTGAGATCACACAATCATTGTG